AATATATTTTAAATTTATGATAAATAATTATATTGTAATTCAAGTATTGATAATTTAAAAAATATATATATCTATAATTTATTTTGCAAATAAAGATGAAAATGATATATTATAAAATATGAAAAGCTAAGAAAAAATTCTAAAAACAAGCTTTTATTGAAAACAATTATTTTAATTATTTTTATAAGAGATTATTTAATAGTAATAAATGATATCCTCCAAATTTTCAAAGAATAATGGCAATTTGATGATCCCAATACCCATTATGTGTTGACAAACCAAGAATGTACTTTACATGCTCTGTTGAATCACACGATACATGTAACCTGTAAGTCGCATTAAATTCCATGATTTTTAGCTCTCTATTATTAATTAGTTTCATTTGAGTTCAACAAAGTGGATATTAATCTAAATGATCATATTGAATTATTATTATCATTAATTAGTTTCATTTCACCTCTAACGTGGGCCCGTTCCGTAAGGAATAGAATGCGCAGGGGGTTAGGCGCCATCTGCACATGCCACGTCATTCATTCAAAACGTATGAGGGGAAAGTGCTATCTACAAAGCGTCCTACCCCTAATGTCACATCAGTTCCTACCTGTTCAAAATCACCTATTTTGATAATTATTTTTTTTTTTAAATTTGTTTTATGTATTTTTAATTTTTTTTTATTTATCTGGGCCAAAAAGCCCTTTCTCCCCTTTTCTTTATTGTTGGATGGATGCTTTTGGAATAAGGTGTCTTTATGCTTCGTTAGATGTAACGTGTGTTACTTTAGTTGAAGATACACGACTTAATTAAGAAACGATAACGACTTGCCTTCGGGTTTAGGGTAATAACATTAATTACTAATAGCATTCATTCAATGAACGATGAAAAAGTAGGATTTATTTTGTTTTTGTTGAGATTTTTTTTTCTGTAGTATTGGTCGATTATTGTCGTCGATATAAAAAAAAAAAAAGTGTTAATCTCGAGATTGGGCAGAGGAAGGGGAGAGACAGCAAGAAATAACGTAAAGGTACATGAAGAAAGTCATATATATTAATGTAATGTGATAAATAAATTAAAAAAAAAGGTGAAAATGAATTGTAAAAAACTAAAATATATGTTTATATATAATTACCGATAAAAAGAATAGTTACTTTGACTTGGTTTATATCATTGAAAATGTATTGTTTAAGCCTGTGTTTGGATCTGACTCCAAGATTCACGTACGCTTCCATGCATATCTACGTCAAAATTCTTAAAATGACGCAGAACTAATTCCCTTCAGCTTCACCTACGTCTATTGCTCGAGTCTTGAAGCATTCAAAACTAAAATGAATATTATTGAACAATATGAAGTAATAAATTTAATTTTTGTTAGACAGTACTAACATGTTTAAAGTATAAAATTAAAGATTTCTCAAATGTGAATATAATGTACTTCTGAAAAAAAAATGTTTTTTACAAACATAAATTTTTGTATATATTTTTTTCAAAATACTTTGTTAAGGAATTTTTATTAACATATTTTAATAATTTTATTGTGTACAAAAAAATAGCACTATGCATATATTTTAGAAGAAAAAAAAAGTTACTTTTAAATGCTTGATTTTGGTCCACGATAAAACAAATATTGATATTCATCTTTACTTAAATTTCTAAATTATACTTTTATATCTTTTACGAAAATAATATCAATCAATATTAAGAAAATTTAATTTTTTTAGGAAAATGAAAAAGAGACATAATTTTCTACGATAAGTTGATCAAAAAAGTGACAAACTAATAATGAAAATGAGTCCAAAAATTGAACAACTTCCATATTATTTATTGTATGAAGTAAGTTATGGTGGGGTTTGAACATGTTTGAATTTGATTATGGGTTGGGTTTGGACATGTTTGAATTCACATCAGTCAAATTAGTTGAACCCAACTAATAAAAAAATGGGTCCATATATTCAGCTATTAATGAACTTTGGGTTAGTCGGAGTTCAAGTTTAACGGGTTGGATTGTTAGACCATAGTGGTCTGTTTATTTTTTTAAAGTAAGTTTTCTTTGGTTTTTTTTCCATTTATTTTCAATTATTCAAAATTTAGATATTATAAGAAAATTGTCACATTGTGATACGTAACTTATAATAACACAAAAATTATTATTAAAAATTAATTTTATCTACACAGTACATATAATATATGTTAATATATGGTAAAAAAATGTGACATAAACTATAATGACATATAAAATATGTTATTAAATTTTATTTAAAATTAACATTAAAATTATATGTAAGTACATGTCAAATAGATATATACTTACATATATTATTTGTATAATGACATTTTTTATAAGTCACTATCTGTAATATTTTTTGTAATGAAAAAATTATTTCGTTGAGTGAGTTTTTTTTTTTATAAAAAAAACTGTAATTACTATTGCCCAATGGCTCAACTGATATTTTTTTCTTCTATCCATAACTAGATTTTCATACTAATAAATATATTAAAAATTCATTAAAAAACAAAAATAATAAACCACACAAAAACTGCTATTTTAATTATAATGATCAAATATGGACCCATTTTTTTACTGGTAGAATTTGACCAATTTGAACTCAAACTTATCCCAACTCAACCCATAGTCGCCCTACCAGGCACTAGTTTGGTGTTTTGTTTGTAGCCTTAGTTTTCTCATTTTGTTTTTTTGTGCTCTTTGTTACAATTTGTTTTTATTTGAGATATATGTTCATGACGTCTATATAGTTTTTTTATTAAGCAAGTCCTGTTTCAATTTTGTTAACTATTTTTTATTGTTATATGTGGTGATATATAAAGAAGTTTTTCGAGTTAGGTCAGTTATTTGAAATTTTTATATTTTACAACTCTTAAATAATTTGTAAAAAAATAAATCTTAATAACAATTGTAAAATTTTAATGTTACTGTCATGTTTGTGCATCATGAGTCACCATACTTATAAATATTAAATACTAAAATAATATATTTAATATTTAAAAATATATATATAAATTATAAGTGAGAATGTCACTCAACCGATTTTTTATTTAGAATTTCAGATAAATCAATTTAACTGATAAGGGATAAAAATGAATTCATCAATTTTCACTATTAATGGCATTGACATGTATTGGAAGCAAATAAATTAGTTTACTCTAATCTAGTGGTATACTAATGGTGAGGAATTTCTTACCTTTATTCCCAAAAGACTGCATTCATCTACTAAAGAAAGAAAAAGATCTTAAAGTTCAAAATTTATCTTGTTTCGTGCTGTTCTTTCGTAGCACTATCTATCTACTTCTTTTTAATTTTGATGGACGATGACCCAACTATAATTACTTGATAAAGATATCTTAGTTAGCACTTAGAAGAATTTTAGGAAAGACATTAGACATAACTTATAATTAAAGTTTTTTTTTGAGAGGTTGTTGTTTCGTTATCAAATAAACTTTATATAAGAATTAAAGGTAATTATCATCAACCTCAAGCGTGTAGTTCAGCGGTAGGGATTGATCCACGTTTAAGTAAGGTTAGAGGTTCGAATCCTGTCTTGTGTATGCTTTCTAGTCTCACTATTCTTTATCCTTTCACCGAGAGTGATCAACATGTGAATTGCCAACTTGATTTTGTTACTATTGTTATTGATATGCCTCATGCTTCTAACAGTACTATTACAAAACCTTATTCTCTTATTGAAAATTCCTCTGATCATAAACAGACAAATACTCACCCTATGACAACTGGGGCCAAAGAAGGCATCTTTAGACCCAAAATTATGTAGTTGCTATGACTTCCACAAATTATGATCACCAAATTGAATCACATTTTGTCAAAGAAACTTTATCTAAACCTGAATCGTGCAAGGCCATGAAAGACGAATTTGCAACATTAACCAAGAATAATACATGGAGTTTGGTAGAACTTCCACCTAGGTGTAAGGCCATTGGCTACAAATGAGTGTCCAAATCCAAGTATAATGTTGATGGCTTTTTTTAGAGGCACAAGGCTCGCCTTGTGGCCAAGAGCTTCCATCAAAGAGAAGGGTTTGATTTTACTGATACATTCAGCCTTGTTATTAAACTATCGATTGTTCGAGTTGTTTTTACTCTTTCTTTTTCTCATAATTGACATTTACATCAAATAGACATAAATAATGCATTTCTAAATGGTGATCTCAAAGAAACAGTCTGCATGTTACAACCTCCAAGTTTTTCTTCAACTCATAAAGGCAAGGTTTGCAAGTTGAATAAAGCTATCTATGGACTAAAGCAAGTACCTAGGTCATGGTTTCAAAAGCTAAATACAACTCTCTTTCATTTTGGCTTCTGAGCAGCGAAGAGCAATACCTCTTTATTTTTCAAGATTACCCCTACTTCTACTATACTCATCCTTATCTATGTAGATGACATATTAATTATTGGTTGTTCACAGTAAGAAGTTCAATTCTTATTTCAAAGCTCAATTCTACATTTAAACTTTATATATTGTTTAGGGATTAAAAAAATCACTCCAATACTTGCACACTTTCTTCCACTCTATATAAGGCTTATCAATTATCATACCATTGAGGATTAAAAAATTCACTATTTTCTCACACCTTATAGTTTTACATAATTGTTTGACCTCAGATTCACCACTCCACCATCTCTATGGCAAAATCCAAAAGCCTCACATTTGTTTTCACCATCATTCTCACGCTTCTCTTCTCATTGGCCACCGCAAAATCCCCTCGTTTCTACCGAACCATATCTCCAACATCTCTGGGCCTCCACAAGGAGAAACTAAGCCACCTTCATTTCTACCTCCACGACGTTGTCAGCAGCCCAAACCCCACGGAGGGAAAGTATAATGGCAGCACACTGAGCATGTTAGGGCGGAACACGGTGTTCTCCGCCGTGAGAGAAATGCCAATAGTTGGAGGAAGCGGGGCTTTCCGGTTCGCACGTGGGTATGCTGAGGCCAAGACTCACACGTTGGATCTCAAGACAAGGGATGCTGTTGTCGAGTACAACGTCTACGTTTTCCATTATTAGCGAGTGCGTGATCGATATAGCATCCTTCTAAAAACCAATATATGATATTCTTGTCTTTACTTTCTTCCCTTTTCTTTATTGTTGAATGCTTTTGGAATAAGAAGGTGTGTTTATGCTTCGTTAGATGTAACGTGTTACTTTAGTTGAAGATATGACTTAAGAAACGATAATGACTTGCGTTAGGGTTTAGGATAATAATATTAAGGCTTAATTACATTTTTGGTCCTCCTAATTTAGTACGGGAGTAATTTTGATCCTCATAATTTGAATTGTTTAATTTTGGTCCATAAATATAAATTTAAATAATGGACAATTTTAGTCTTACAAACAATTTATCATCTAAAATTTAACAGACGTTAATAATGTCAATTTTATGTTAAATAAACATTAATTATATATCATTTAATTTCTTACGTGTCAAATTATTTAATATTCAAATTTTAAATTCAAATAACATTGAGAACAAAATGAAAATGATATTGATATTAATCTTAGTGAGAATTTTTCACTAAAATAGAATTTTTTTTAATGAGCTGTTAACAGACTACGCGTGCAAGCAAAACAGTTTGTTTTGCTTAGAAAACGGGTCGTTCCAGTTACAACATTAACATGTATAAGAAAGAAAAATATAAAATAAATAAATTTAAAATTTTTAAATTTGAATATTAAATAATTTGACACGTAAAAAATTAAATAATATATAAATATTTATTTAACATAAAATCTATATCATTAATATTTGTTAAATTTTGGATTGATAAATTGTTTGTAGAATTAAAATTACTTATTATTTAAATTTATAAATCAAAATTAAGTTATGACACTTAAATTAAGAGGACCAAATTACTAATATTGTTCATTGATTCAATGAACGATGAAGAAGTATGATTTTCTTTTGTTTTTGTTGAGAAGTACTTTTTTTTCCTTCTATTGGTACGTAAAAAGTAATGATGATTATTGTTGTCAATATAAAAAAAGAACAATGTTAATCTCGAGATTGGGGCAGAGGAAGGGGAGAGAGAGACAGCATCATAAAAGAAAAGGTACGTACAGGAAGAAAGTTATAAATATTAATGTAATGTGATAAAAGAAAAATAAATAATAAATAATAGAAATAAAAATGAATTGTTTAAGCCTGTGTTTGGATCTGACTCCAAGATTCACGTACGTTTCCATGCATATCTACGTCAAAATTCTTAAAATGACGCAGAAGTAATTTCCTTCATCTTTACCTACGTCTATTGCTCTTCAAGTCTTGAAGCATTCAAAACTAAAATGAATATTATAGAACAATATGAAGTAATAAATTTAATTTTTGTTAGACAGTAATAACATGTTTAAAGTATAAAATTAAAGATTTCTCAAATGTGAATATAAAGTACTTCTGGAAAAAAAAAATGTTTTTTACAAACATAAATTTATGTATTTTTTTTTTCAAAATACTTTGTTATGGAATTTTTTTAACATATTTTAATATTTTTCTTGTGTACAAAAAAATAGCACTATGCATATATTTTAGAAAAAAAAAAGTTACTTTTAAATGCTTGATTTTGGTCTACGATAAAACAAATATTGATATTAATCTTTACTTAAATTTCTAAATTCTACTTTTATATCTTTTACGAAAATAATATCAATCAATATTAAGAAAATTTAATTTTTTTAGGAAAATGAAAAAGAGACATAATTTTCTACAATAAGTTGATCAAAAATGTGACAAACTAATAATGAAAATGGAGCCCAAAAATTGAACAACTTCCATATTATTTGTTGTATGAAGTAAGCCTGGTTTGAACATGTTTGAAATTGATTATGGGTTGGGTTTGGACATGTTTGAATTCACATCGGTTAAATTAGTTGAACCCAACTAGTAAAAAAATGAGTTCATATATTCAACTATTAATGAACTTTGGGTTAGTCGGACTTCAAGTTTAAGCGGTTGGGTTCAATTAGGTTAGACCATAGTAGTCTGTTTATTTTTTTAAAGTAAGTTTTCTTTGATTTTTTTTCCATTTATTTTCAATTATTCAAAATTTAGTAATACGTACGTAACTTATAGTAACATAAAAATTATTACTAAAAATTATTTTTACCTACACAATAAATATAATATATATTAATATATTGTTTTAAAATATGATATAAACTATAATAATACATAAAATATATTGTTAAATCTCATTTAAAATTAACACTAAAATTATATGTAGATATATATCAAATAGATACATACTTACATATATTATCTCTATAATAATATTTTTATATATCACTATATGTAATATTTTTTTTAGTAAAAAAATTTATTTCATTGTATATGTTTTTTTTTTATTAAAAAAAACTGTAATTACTATGGCCCAAAGGCTCAAATGATATTTTTTTCTTCTATCCATAACTAGATTTTCATACTAATAAATGTACTAAAAATTCACTAAAAAAATAATAAACCACACAAAATCTGCTATTTTTATTATAATGATTAGATATGGACTCGTTTTTTTACTTGTTGCATTTGACCAATTTGAACTCAAACTTGTCCCAACTCAACCCATATTGGCCCTTCCAGGCACTAGTTTGGTGTTTTGTTTGTAGCCTTAGTTTTCTCATTTTGTTTTTTTTGTGCTCTTTGTTACAATTTGTTTTTATTTGAGATATATGTTCATGAAGTCTATATATGTTTTTATTAAGCAAGTCCTGTTTCAATTTTGTTAACTATTTTTTTATTGCTATATGTGGTGATATATAAAGAAGTTTTTCGAATTAGGTTAGTTATTTGAAATTTTTATTTTTATTTTTATATTTTACGACTCTTAAATAATTTGTAAAAAAATAAATAAATCTTAATAACAATTGTAAAATTTTAATGTTACTGTCATGCTTGTGCATCATGAGTCACCATACTAACAAATATTAAATACTAAAATAATATATTTAATATTTAAATAGACATATAATTATGTGTCTATTCTTATTAATTAAATAAAAGAATTAATAAAAAAATATTAATCAAATTTTTAAAATTATTCTTAAAATTGACATCTGATCAGTAGTTTAGTACTAGGCTCGTATCAACTGATGGTCAAAAATTAAAATGTAGCACTGACACGTTTGAAAAGGAAAATGAATTAGAAATACCTCTTATGTTACATTCAACGACAATGTTTATGACCCAGTAATGGTAATGGATCAACTTGTGTAGTTAGTTGCCCACCCTGACACAATGACACTCCACCAACATTTTCGGGTGCTGATTAACATGCATCCCCTAAATGGGGGTAAATTAAGATGAATCGAAGAAAATATTGTAATTCAGCAGTAGGGGTTGATCCACGCTTAAGTAAGGTCAGAGATTCAAATCCTGCTTTGTGTATGCAGCCGCATTAAATCTTGGGACTAGCTATCCCACCTTTTGAGGTATCTCCAACGTAGCGAGGAGATTAGTCACTGCTGTCGGCGGTGGATACTCCAGGGACGAACCAAAAAAAAGATGAATCGAAGAGAAAATTAAAAAATAGCAAACATGATATGAAAATGAGATGGAAGATTCCACCATAGCTAAGTTGAGGAAAGTTGTTCACCTTACTCTCCAATACTTGCACACTTCCTTCCACTTTACACTGTTTAGGGATTAAAAAAATCACTCCAATACTTGCACACTTTCTTCCACTCTATATAAGGCTTATCGATTATCGTACCACTGAGGATTAAAAAATTCACTCTTTTCTCACACCTTATAGTTATACATAATTGTTTGACCTCAGATTCACCACTCCACCATCTCTATGGCAAAATCCAAAAGCCTCACATTTGTTTTCACCATCATTCTCACGCTTCTCTTCTCATTGGCCACCGCAAAATCCCCTCCTTTCTACCGAACCATATCTCCAACATCTCTGGGCCTCCACAAGGAGAAACTAAGCCACCTTCATTTCTACTTCCACGACATTGTCAGCGGCCCAAAGCCCACGGCCGTCAGAGTGGCCGAGGCCCGCATCACCAACACTTCCTCCACGCTTTTCGGTGTCGTAGTCATGGCCGACGACCCATTGACCGTGGGCCCCGAGCCAGGATCCAAAGTCGTGGGAAGGGCCCAAGGAATATACGGATCTGCAGCCCAAGACGAAACGGGCCTGTTGATGATAATGAATTTGGCATTCACGGAGGGAAAGTATAATGGCAGCACACTGAGCATGTTAGGGCGGAACACGGTGTTCTCCGCCGTGAGAGAAATGCCAATAGTTGGAGGAAGCGGGGCTTTCCGGTTCGCACGTGGGTATGCTGAGGCCAAAACTCACACGTTTGATATCAAGACAGGGGATGCTGTTGTCGAGTACAACGTCTACGTGTTCCATTATTAACCACTGCGTGATATGGCATCCTTCCAAACATCAATCCATGATTCTTGTCTTTACTTTCTCCTCCTTTTTCTTTTTTGTTTGATGCTTTTCGAATAACTTGTCTCTATCTATGCTTCGTTACTCGTTAGATGTAACGTGTTGTGTGACTTTTGTTAAACATATATGACTTAAGAAACGATAATGACTTGAGGGTCGGATTGATTCATGTTCAATTTTCTCGAATGAGAATCTCATTTCCAGAATTCTAACCATTGCTTACATTTCTAAACATGTTTTTATTACGTTTTAATTTTAATATTTATATGGATTTTTTTAATTTAAAATCATTTTGAAAAATAGCTAAAAATAAAAATCACAAGTGCTAGAAAAAAAGAACTATATTTATTTATTTTCACAAAAATAATTATATTTATGAGAATATCACCTTTTTTTATTTTTGGGATAAATAATATTCAAAATAATTTTTCAAAACTTAATACAAGTGGTCAATGTGTTGATTTTGGGTTATTATTTATCCCAATAATATTCAAAATTTGTATTTTGTGTAATGTAAATACATTTTTAGTGATTATTATTTATTAATTATTAATTTTTATTAAATAATAAAATAAAGATAATTAATTTATTATCATTAATAGTAAATTTTGATATAATAATCATAGTTTTTATGAAAAATGCTGCTTATTTTAAAGCTTACGGATTGAAAAATTTGTCACATTTAAAATTTTAAAAGGCCAAATTAAATAAATAATTTATGTAAAATTATTGACAAATATAAATTGTTGAATGGTTCTGAGAATTGGTAGATGGACTAGCCTACATTCGTGAAGTATAGTTTTCGCCGGTAGACTCTACATTTTGAAACATATAGTATTTATTTCCTTAACCTTTACCTACGGTTTATTTCTCTTGAAGTCTTGATGCATTTCTAAACAGGTGGCTAATTATACTATATCATTCAAAATTAAAATGAATGCAATTAAACAAGGAAAAATAAATTAATAAGTAATAAATTTAATTTCTGATACACAGAAATAACTATGTTTAAAATATACAATTAAAGATTTATCATTGTGCAGCAAAAATTCTATGTAATACAAGTATTTTAAAATTAAATTAGATCAATCATTAAATTTATATTGATTTTACTGTAATTAAATTACAAAGAATTAATTTTGTTCCAACTTTTTCTGGACTTGGTTTTGATGAATATCTCAAACCATTCAAAATAGTCTAGAGCAAACTAAGGAAATAAACATGAGAACCATTCAATCAAATAAATAATCGAAATAGTATGTATAGAAATATTCTATTCTTATTATTATTGTAATTTTTATTGAGAATTAAATTTTTTTTATTGAATCTAGATTCTTTACGATTACAATTTTAATTGCAAAGATCTGAGCCCTTAAACATGTATATATTTTTTAATGTTTATAGAGAATTAGATTATAACTATATGTGGGGTGCAGTTAAATTCCAAAGTCAGAAGATCCAATTCCGAAACCGTTAGAGCAGTGACTTTTTCTGGAGAGTGTAGAGTATGGTCAATTACAGTATGGTAGGGTCCGTTGCAAGGAGTAGTCGTGTTCGTCCTCTACTTCTAGAGTAGTCAAATATTTCATTCATTTCAATTCAACTAACCCACAAATGAAAACGTTGCGAAAAGGGGGAGTTTTTAATGAGTTCATTCTATTATTATATCTTACAAACGAATTTGACCAGCAATATACTATCTCGCTAAACAAATTAATAACTCTTGTTATTCTCTCTCTTTCACAACCTTTTTTATTATTCATTTTTTGTGCCACATATTGCCGTTTTTTTTTTTTTGTCTTCCTATTTATCTTCACATTTTGAAAAGATATTGAGAAAGAATGAGTAAGAGTGTAATTATTCTAAAGAAATTCTTGTCTGAACTTAGATAAATCTAATTATGTCTATTAGCTCAATTAAATATTATTTTATTGTTAGTAATTATCAAAGTTAATAATCAACAGATAGCAAACATTATTAACGATGTATTAATAATATATATATATATATATATATATATATATATATATATACTCTCATTCTTTTAAAATAATTTATGTTTTAAACATTTTATTTTGTTTCAAATTAGTTATTTTTTATTATAAAAGCTCAAGAAGACAATATTTTTTAATCTTACTCATATCTATTAATATGTATAATAAGATCATTTGAAAAACTTCCCTATTAGATGCTTGATAATTAAAAAATAAAACACACACAAAATATTATAAATTTTAAAAATTATTTTTGATATTTTCTATTTCTAAATCATTATCAAAAATGGTTAGAATTAGTTTAATGATTGAAAGGAAAGAAGGTGAGATATTGACTCAAATTTAAATATATTTAATTACTTGTTTACTTAGTGCACTTAGAGTTCAATTTATAGGTTTAAGTACTAACTACTCCCAACAATGGGTTAGATAATTTTGCCCTTTTTGATATAACCGGTTCGAGGATAATTGGATTGATAAAGTCGCACATGGTAGAGTAGTTGGCATTGATAACCGAGTAGACTTCAATTGCTTTTCTCAATTAATTTGCTATATTTTGCGTGTTTCTGATCATTAGCATTACGTACTCCTGTGCGTGTTATAGGATTTTTTTAACAAAAGGTACAAGCTAGCAAAGTTTTTTAAGTTTCAAAAGAATATGCAATTTATGTTGCAAAATCCAGAGAGATAAGTTACTTAGAGAAAACGACAAGGTAAATAAGCTAATTAGAAGAAAAATAATAGACTGAGATCTGCATATAGCGATAAATTATGTTGACTTTATTATTTCTGGGAATCTTAGAAGTAAATTCTATGGTGCTAGAAAACTTGCTTGTCATGATGCCCGAATGACTTGAAATCGATCTTACATGGAAGTTACATGTCATCTCTGAATTTCAATCACCGAACAATTTCATCGCCGAATCCACTCACAACATTCATGCTGAATATTCATTTCATGAAGGGAAAAATATAATTACTCTTAGATATGAAGGTGGATATATGGTGGAAGGCAATCATTCTTTTTTCCCCAAGTAAGATAAAGGTGAACCTCCTCTGTTGTTTTCCTTCATGGCCATAATTTCATTCATGGTTTTGGTTTGCACATATCTCAACTCTGCACAATTATTAGAGTACACTGCTAAATGAGTGCACCCGACAAGTAAGTTAGAAGAAAATGGATCAAATCAACACCACAAAGGAAAAGTAAAAAATAAAGCAAATCCATGGCTAATCATGATGATCAATTATTATGTTAATTTATTTTTCCACTTTAGACTTTTTAACTCTCAAACCTTAGAGCGATATTCCATCCCTCAACAGTTGGTAATTGTTCATTTTGAATGTGTTGCACGTGTACGTCTTTGAAAGGCAAAGGAATATATAGACATACAATAACAATTGAGGTTTCCTAAAAGAGATTAAAATGTCGAATAACTGGGTGATTTTTGGGATATACTTCTCAACACAAGGGATACAAGTGCATGGATACTCGAGGGAGACTCTTTAGTCTTTATATCCAAAGAAGTTCTCTTTTTGAGTCAAAATGTATTTTATTTTACCCAAAAAAAAAAAGAATCCAAACTAATTCCCTTAGGTATTATATCTCACATAATATTACATTGTCTCCCTTTTCTATTTCCCTTAACCGCTGCTTTTTACAGTGTCTCACCTCCTCTTCTATCAATTTAATAATGTGTTTGAACAGAAAATTTAAATAGAATAATTTTAAAAAAAAAATTCAAATGTATTGAAATGAAATATTTTAATTTAGATGAAAAATTTACAAAGAATTTAAAATTTAAGTATTTTTTAAATTCTTTAAAATAGTAAAATTTTAAATTCTTCTAAAAAAGTAAGAATTTAAATTTTTTTCTTATCTCACATATATATCTTTTATCTTTTCTACTCTTATCTTTTATATTTCCTTTTGTTTCTCTCTTCCATTTCATATACTTTATTGTCTCCCTTCCCTCATCTCTCTCCTTATTTTTCTCTCTCCCTAGTTCTTTTCTTTCTTTTCTCTCTATTTTTTTTATCTCTTTCATCTCTTCTCTACCCATCTCTATGCTATTTCTCTTTTCTCTACATGTGTCTCTCTTTCTATTTTGTCTTTTTTTCTTATTTTTTTAATAATTTTTCTCCTACCCTCTCCTCTCTTTCAAATTAACATAAAAAATATCAATAAATTTTTAATTATTGAATATTTAAAATATTTTTTAAATTATTAAATATTAACTAATATTAATTTTTAAAACTATTAAATATTTAAAAATTAACTAATATTTACTTTTATAAAATTTAGTCTTAAAATCTTAGTATATATATATATAATTTTTATCATATATCTAAACTAATAATTTAAAATTTTAAAAATTTGAATTAATTTATCTAAATAAAACATTTAAAAAATATAGGAATTAAAATTAAAATAATTTAAATTACAAAAAATTTTAAATTTCTTGAATTTCAAAATTCCTCATCCAAACATATATCATTTAAATTCAACAAATAGACATATGCATTTCTCTTAACTGAAGAAGTTTACATGTTTCAACCACAAGGGCTTGAATCTCTTGAGCCCAATCTTGTCTGTAAGTTAAATAGGCACCCAAGGCCTGGTATATATATATATGAACACAACTAAATCTCTAACTGGTTTTGGTTTTTTGCAGAACAAGTGTAACCCCGTCCTAATTGGTTTTGAACAACCATGAATAGAATTTGTATGTCCCCATCTATGTTAATGATATAATAATCACAGATAGACCTCTTCATCTATGATTTAGGATCTTAGTAACAAGTTACAATCTATGTTTGCTCTCAAACAACTGGGACAGTTAGATTATTTCCTTGGTATTGAAGTAAAACATTTCTCCAATGGTGCTTTATTACTTTCTCAGAATAAATAGAGTTAATATGTTTGAAGCAAAAGGGGTTCCTGGACCTTTTCCTGGCGGACTCAAACTTTCTAGGTTTCGGAGTGACTATATGATGATCCTACTGTCTATATAGAATTATAGATCTATTGGCGGAGTCCGGCAATATACAACTATCACGAGACCAGAAATTGGATATAGTGTCAACAAAGTATGAAAATTTATGGGACAACCTTTGAACTCTCTAGCAAGCGGTAAAAGGCATTTCTATATAGATTATATTAAAATATGCTCACTCTAGAAATAATTAACATAAAAAATTCTATCTACACTAGTGACATCAATAATTATATATAATTATATTTTTATCTGAGATAAAATTAATTATATTTAGAGATGAAGTTAACTACGTGATATATAGACATTTGTTAGACAAAATTAACCATTAATAGACACTTAAATAATCTCGTGATATTTTTAATTACATATCAATAGTTATGCATAATTGTATTTATTTATAGAGAATCATTATCTCATGCTAAAAAATAATGATTCCTGAGATAATTCTTATAAATGATTAAAATATGTTTAATTAGTAATAAATATATTTTAAAAATATTTAATGTTAATTGAAAGCAAAATATTTTTACTATATTAAATAAAAAAAATAGAGGTAACATAATATCTTTAATATGATAAAACTTTTTATTTTAATTCAAAACTATTAGATCCTCATCTTCCATCTATAAAAATAATTTTGTAAAAAATTTGTGTAACAACATTCTTAGAAACAATGTTTTCAAAAATACTATTTTTTAATTAATAAATCAACCGTGTAATATTAACATTCACAATCTCATTCATATATAAAAAGTAAAAATATTATTCATACCAAATTTATTTTCAAAAAAAAAGTTATAACAAATAAATAAACTAAATTCAGGCTTAATTTTACTGTAAGTCAAACTGAAACCCGCTAAAATTAACTTAGCTTGCTCTCCCTGATTACACACAAGGGCAGACGTACAAAAGATGGAAAAATAAATATGTCAGTCTAACTGCCATGTTCGTTTGTTCCTTAATAAATCCTTTTCTTAAGGGGTTGGTTTTGTCATTTTGATGTCAAAAGCCCTATGCATCATATCATTATCACTGCCCCTGAATGAAGAGATTTATTGATTTGCGTCTGCAGACAAGGCATTAATATGTGACCCATGCTTCCCTAGGTTATGGGACGACGACGTTACTCATCAACCTAGTTATTAACTCGTCACTTCAATTTTGAATGATCACCTACCCATTACATCGATTCTGATTCCACCTCGGGATCCTCCACAACATTTCCATTTTTAATTTCTGCAATGAACTGCTCCCTTTGAGTCAACCTAAAATAACCGCAGTAAACATCGAAGCACTGACATTTTATCTCCAAATATATGTCCCTTCTCCCATTTATATAGAGAACCTGAGTGTGTGTTAATTGGCTATGAATATGATATATATAGTGTACAATTACATTGCTCACTTTGTGTCCTAAGCCCTAATTAAGCATAAAAGAGTAAAAGTAGACGTAATTAGCTGATAGGAACACATCCACAAACACGTCTTTTTCTCCCCCTTAATTACATACATTGCACACTGGGAACTAAGAAGTGACTGAGAACAAAAGGAGCATAGAGCTAGTTATATGAATATGTTGGATGTTAAATTTGAGATATATGGTGCCAGCAAAGGGCAATGAAATATCACTTTCTTGCTGCAAAATTTGAGCAGATTATCAAACGTTGTCCACGCGGCATTGAATCTGAACCCACCTCTGTCGGCACTGTACATGTCCGGGCAATATGCAAGAATTACGCACACGTGTGTTGGGACAAAATATTCATGCGCGCTCAACTGTTTTGTACGCTTTACATGATCTCCACACGAGTGGCCAATTTTCTCAGCTACCGCAGGCCGAGAATGACGTCAGTGGCTACGCAAAACGAAACTAATAAGACCTAGCTAGAGATCCGTGTAGATATATCACATGTTATCTCTCTTAAAATAAGAAAGGCGTATTAATTAGATAAGGGAAAAAAATATACAAGTTTCACGTTCCAACAGTAAACATACTGTTAGGGCCACAACTAGACGGTCGCAGTTTTATTTTTGAAGAGTAAATTAAAGAAAAAAGGTGTTTGATTATAAGTTACTTTTGGTCATAATTTTCCAAAGGATATGAGATTTTGGACATACTAAAACTTTTTTTTTTGTTCGGAGTATCCGGTACCGATAGCTAGTCCCAAGATTTAACGCGACTGTATACACAAGGCAGAATTCAAATCCCTGACTTTGTTTAAGCGTGGATCAACCCTTACCGCTGAATCACACGCTTGAAATTTGACATACTAAAGCATTCGTAACAAAAAAAATAAAGAGAAACTATCAAAAATATAAAATGTTTCTTATAATTGAAAAAAATAAGTTTAAATATGTTCTTAATATTTGAAAATGAGAAGAGATAAGAATAAATTTAAAAGAGTTAATTATCTTTATCATTTTTCTTAATGTAATGGTTTTAACAAGTAACTAATCTATCGGTAACTGATAAAAAATAAAGAGTAACTCCTTTAAAATTATTCTTAAAAATAATTTGATTTTTTCTCATTGAAACTTTATTCAGTTACCTATAGACATTTTTTTTAAAGTTTCAATGGGATATTATTTTTAATGTTTCACCAATAATTAAAATCATGACTTTGTAATTTTAAAGAAAAAACTAAATAAAAATATTTTTAAAAGGTGTCATGTTTTAAGAAAGTTTAATGAATCTTTATTTTTTTTACATTGTCAACTAATTAAAAATTAATTTTAGTGTAACTTTTAAGATGATTATTATTAAAGTTAACAAATTCATTATATATTAAAAAAATGATATATTTTGTGTCTCATCGACTTGTTATTTGAAAAAATAGATAATCCAATAAGAATGTATAAATAATTCTATAATAGGGAGATGGTTGTAAATATTAGTTAAAAGATAAAAATGTAAAAAAAATGTGTAAACTAAAATAATTAATCTTTTTTATTAATAGTTATAGGTGATAGTTTATAATTAAAAGTTATATTTAGATAGTGCATTTTTTTCTCAACTAAAAATTACTTAAAACTTAATTAATAATATATAGTTTAATCTAACTTTTAGGATGAAGTTCATTTTTAGTTTGATTTTTATACGAAAAAACAATCAAATCAATCTCTATACATAGAATCATTTCCAATCCATTCCATATGTGTTGTTGGACTTAATTGTGGTCCCTGCATGTTATCAATTTTAGTTCGTTAGTGACACAAGTTAATTCAAGAATAATTTCACATACCGAAACTGATTAGAAAATGATAAATCGAAAACAATTATTACTTGTAATAATTAAAGGTTTAATTAATTATATATAACTAATACACCATAATATCATATATCAAAATAATTATCTATTAATGTAGATAAAAAAAATTATCTCACATTCTCCCATTTTATTATTTTCACGTCTACTTAATTTTTTATAAGAAAATTATTTATTTACATTCATTTCACTTGAAAAATTATAGGGGATCCAAATGTGATCTTTGTTAATTTTTATTTGACACAAATAAATATTAATTATTGATTCATTCTTGTAAATTGAACATTTTAAATTTATGTCATTTATAGATTAATTGAGATCACAAATGAAAGCATAACGATAATGACCTCAAACTATCTAATAATTTCTTTATGTAAGAAATGTATGGGTACGTGGAAGAAAAAGAGAAAGAAGAGGGGGAAAAAAAGATAAAGGCCATGAAATAAAAATAAAAATAATATGAAAAAATGACGTGAAAGTGATGAAAAGAAAAGGTTGAGTATACACTAATAATACCTCTGTATATAGTAGAGGAGAGTGACTTTTTAACCTTAAAAAGGTGAGTGTGGGCATAGTATGAAATTTAGGAGTGTGAAAAATATTATTCTTCAAAGAATATAATAAAATAAAATATAAAAACAGTAACAATTTGACACTCTTTTGTCTTAACTCTTAAGGCCAAGTAGGAAAAAAAAATACAAATTACAAACAAGAAATGTCATTATAAAGTGTAAAAGTTGAGATGTTAAAAAAAATGACTTTGGTAATTGGTACCTCTACAAATTTTAGGGGTTTTAGTACTATCTTGTTTCCATATCATCCTTTTATTTATGTATTTTGGTCTGCAGATACCAATTTCATGTGAATTTTTTTTTCTTTTTCTTTCTAGATTATCATAATTATATAAACACAGTAATTGATATGAGAATGATCATAACTTTATGACGGAATCCGGTGACGAAAAAGATCGAACAATAACAAGACGAAAATTCTAAAATCATATTTACATATACCATTACCATCCTCAGGCGCTCCGACCTGGAGATGTTATTGAAATACTGAGTGCGTGTAAATTTGATGTTACAGACGAAGATCCAAACTCACATGGTCGGGTTTGGTGTCATAAACAAAGCGGTTTTGCGAACCGGAGTGTCCCATCCCGTTGTTCTCAGCGGAAAACAAAGGCAACGCGCGTTCGGCGTTCAAAATAGGGTTCGTCGGGGCATGAGTGACAGTGTTGGCGGGGATTGGCCACAAGCCCAATGGGCTTCCATTGATGGGCTGAAGTTGAAGTTGATGAGAATAGGAGGTTCCGTAGAACCTTCCAGCATTGGAAGAAGCGAAGGTGTAGTTCATGTAGGCGTAGGCATCGGGGAGGGTGGTTTGAGGCATCATGGGGATGGGTGAGTGGAGGTGTCGTTTTGCGTGTTGGCGCTCTCGTTTGTGCGCGTTTTGGTGGCCGCCCAAGGCCTGAGAAGTGGGGAAGTTTCTGCAACAGTAATGACACTCGAACCTGCGGCTAGTGTCGGCGTTGTCTGTGTTGTTGGCGTGTGCGGAGTGGGAGTCGGTGAAGTCTTGGCCGAAGAGTCGAACGGGTTTATCTTTGGAGGGGCGGAGGAAGGGGAGCTGAGAGAAGGAGTGGACGTTCATGAAGTTGTGGGTTTCTCTCTCGGCGTTGTCCATGGATATGATGGAGTTAGAGAGTGTGTGTGTGTGAGAGAGAGAGAGAGAGAGAGAGAGATTTGAGGTTTGAGATAATGGGGTTGGGAGAGTGGTGCTATAAACGAAGGGAGAGTGAGTGGGGACAACTGGGGTGGCTGATGATGCATCTCTGAGTGAAGCCTGACAACGCCACAAAATCTGATAATGGCTTCGGCTTCTCAAAGTACCGGCATAAACCATCTCTGGGACCGAACCCAACGCTGTCATTCTCCTAAATCATCTTTTTAACACCCAAGTCAAGAAAATTACTAGAAATAAAGTAGTTATTAATTATGATTGATGATGATGACGACGTGTTTTTTAAGAATATCAATAAGATGTTCAATTTATTTGGTTGTCTTTAAAAAAAATATCTTTTAACTAATTATTTTAATTAAAATTAATAAGTTATTTTATTGGCTCATTTTTTTATTTAATTAAAATAAACAAATTATTTTTCCTTTTTTTTTGTAAATAGAGATTGATAAAGAGAGAATGAATAAATTATTATATTATTTAATAACTTATAATTGGATGATATTTTTTTTTTAAAATTTACTTTTAGAATAAAAATTCATTTTATCTAGATTATATATATATA